TTTTTTTTTTTTTTAGTGGAAATGGGATTTCATCGTGTTAGGATAGTCTCGGTCTCCTGATCCATGACCAGCGCGCCTCCGCCTCCCAAAGTGCTGGGATTACAGACACCACTTAGTTTTTAAAATATTTTCACATAAATTACCTAGGATTTTTGTCATAGTAAGGTTCCTAAGCATCAAACCTGAACCTATCCCCGATATTACTTTAAAAGGACATATAACTAAAGGGGCAGAGCTGAATGAAGATCCTCTGACTTTTAGTCTAGTGCCAGTTCACTTATAGATCATGCGGAGCTACTTTTTCATTTAGAACAATTCATTCCTCTTCCCTTCTCTCCCATATTTTGATGATAAAAATACTTACTAGTAAATAAACATGCTGTGAAAATAAGTTGGTCTCAGCATTAATAAAATCTATCTAAGGTTTTTGATTTTTTTTTCCCCCGAGACAGAGTCTTGCTCTGTTGCCCAGGCTGGAGTGCAGCGGCCCGATCTTGGCTCACTGCAACCTCTGCCTCCCAGGTTCAAGCAATTCTCCTGCCTTAGCCTCCCCAGTAGCTGGGATTAACAGGCATGAGCCACCACATCCAGCTAATTTTTTTATATTTTTAGTACAGACGGTTTTACCATATTGGCCAGGTTGGTCTCAAGCTCCTGACCTTGTGATCCGCCGGCTTCAGCCTCCTAAAGTGCTGGGATTATAGGCGCGAGCCACCGTGCCTGGCCTGAGGTTTTTATCTACGTATTTCCATGAATTTTTAAGGTTATTACTAGTTTATATTTTAAAGTTAACATTTAGTGCACAATTTTAGGAAGATCTATGATCTGCAAAAATTAAAGTGGTTTAATTTCCTTGTCTAATTGTCCAACATTCATTCAATAAACAATTTATTGAGTACCTATCAGGAACTTCAGTATTCTGGTGCTGAAGACAAAATAGTATTATAGTTCACAGTCCTGGAAGCTTTATGATTTGCTGAGGAACAGCCCAGGAAACAGCAATTAAATACAGTGCTAGAAGTGCAAGTTGAAGAACAGAAAAGATGATGATGATAATGATTATGATTAGAAGTCTATCATCATCATCATGAGTGGCCACCTCTGCCCATGGGGGAGAAAAGCATTCTTAGTGGTGGCAAAAATCTGTAAAGGCACTGAAAACAAGAAAAACCTCAGGGTAAGAAAACCAGAGGTGCCAAGGGCCCTAAAACCAAACAAAATCCTTATGCTTTAGTTAACAGTGGACTTACAGCACAATTCCCTAATAAATGTTAAGATTTCTACATGTAACACTCATAAACTGATTAAGGCTAGTCTCAGAGATATTTTCCAGGCTTCCAATCATGTGTCTGTGTGTGTGTGTGGGTGCACGTGTGTGATCTATGCATAATGTCAAAGCTTTTTTTTCACATTTAACCTTAACAACAATGTAGCCACCAATTCCCGCTACTAATCTACATTTCATCAGTGGTCTAAGTTATGGCTTTCATAAGTTCCCTAAAATTGGGGGAATTGTGAAGTAAAACTGCAGACTCATTCAACCACTTTCATATTGATATTTTCCCCTCTAGTAGTCAATGCTTCTGACTGGTTTTCTCTTTCCCATTTTGGTATCAGCCAGACAGGACTAGTTAGGACTTCCAGGGCACTTAAGGAATTCCTTTGTGGTGCAATGTCACCTGGTCAATGAAGTAACACTCCCTTTTTTCCCTCTCTCCTCTAGAGATCAAGAAAATCTTATTATGCAGAAAATTAATGGCTAAAACTATATATATATACACACACACACACAGACTGACACACACACACATATATATCAAAAGCAGGCATGGTGGCATAAATATATCAATATATTAGTCTATTGTCCAGTATGGGTCCTAAGTACAAAATATTAAAATGGTAAATCCACAAGAGATAATAGTAAGCTTCTTCATTACTTGGGGAAAGCAACATCTTCAAGGTTATGTTTTCCAGCAAGGAGCATCAATAAGCCAGGTTATGTATTTTGAACTTACAATAAAAGTACTTTGTTAAATTGCTACTATTCTAGAATATTAACTTTTTGTTCTCCTTAACAAAATAAGGCCAGTTTATTGTATAGCACTTGGAAGACACAGAAAAACAAAAATAAATCAGTCACATCCACCACTCAAAGATGATTCCATCTTCCTCATTTTTCAGCAGTCTTCTTTAATTATCTTAGAAAACTACAAGATTTAACTGAGCATACAATTTTTCATATTAAGGTGTAATTTAAATATCAAATTTGTAATATTTGTCAGAGTGAAAAGCAGCATGGAATTTTCTGAGTTTGCAGTACAATCAAAATGAGTTTAACCACAAACTGAAAAACATTCTTCCCTAAAGCCCGTTGTTTGGGGTCAGAACACTGGTAATACATTACAGACAGAATGGGAGTACTCCGGTTGGACAACGCCTGGGCAAAACAACTTCTGTATTTTCACAAAATACTATTCATCAAAATTTGAAGAGGGCACCGGGAGTTTTACAATTGGGGAAACTTAGGAGGGATACAAATGCTACTTAACCTAAATTTACTACAAAGTCGGTAGAGGAATAGTCTGGGAGTGGCAACTAATATTTTCGGGAAAAATGACAAAAAGGGAAAGATTAAAGGCAGAAAACATGTGCAGACAGCAACATCTCGACTTGATTCTACCTTTAAGCATACGGCCAAATAAATCTGGTTTAACAATATTTCCAACCCAATCAGTTTCTTACTTCGGTTTCAGGGAACCCTACTCACTTTTCCCTAAACTAGCCTGGGCCTCCCGCACACCACGACACCACAATACCATTTTTCAACGCCTCCTCATTTAATCGAGACTGTCGCATTACTAACACCCTCTGTTTTGAAGACAGTATTCCTTCAACCGTCCTCTTCCCTCAGAGAAGAAAAAGTAAAAGCCCTTCTTTTACCCTTCCAGTTCCATCTGAAGCACGTTAACATCTATGGAACCTTCCCTGCAGAGATGTCAGATAAAACCCTTAGAATTACTGAGAAAGCACATTCGGAGAGAAGCTTTACAGTGACTCCGCAGTGAGGGCCGTATCTGACAGTCCCTCTCAAGCCTCTCACCGGAGACGCCTCTGCCTTCAGGGTTTTAGCTACCTCCCCGCTCCTCAGCCCTGAGCCGAGGGTAAGGACGGTGAGGATCTTTGCCAAAGAATGGGCTTTAAGGAATGGGACCTTAGTGTCTACTGCAGATCCCTGTGGAATGGCTGAAATAATCTGCTACCCGAAGCCCCAAAGGCTCTGAGTAGAGAATCATAATGGCCGCACTCACTTCCAACCCTGGGAAAGGTGGACATCTCAATCCCCAAGTAGCGGGGACGACCACACTTGGGGAAGCGGGGGTCAGGGGAAATGAGCTCCTTGTCCATGCAGGGTGACAGCGGGGAGGAAGCCTCAGGCAGGGAGGTCGTCGTTCACACACTCCCTTCTCTCTCTCCTCTGCCTTCTTCTACCCCCTTTACCCGTTCTGCCCCCACCACTCGCCAGTTACCGGCCGCCGCTCACCTGCTGGGGCGCGAGGTGCAGAGACAGTACCGACCGAGGACCCAGAGGCTCTGTCACCACGGGAGGGGAAGTCCTCAGCTGCGGGGGGGGGGGGAGGCGGGCCCAACCAGTCATGTGACGTCGAGCTCCGCCCTGCCTTCCTCATCCCATCTCGCTACATCTTGGGGGCCTGTATTTTTACAAATTCCTTGAATTTTAATCTCCTTAGATTTAAGAAATAAAGATAAATTTTCACAAGGACTGTGTTGTAAAGTACAATGAGGAAGACGTGGACAGCAAGGGTTAAAGCGCATTGCTAAGGAAGTGACGTTCACGCCACGATCCAGGGACAGGAAATGGCGGTGGGGTTCCTTCCCTTTGGAATCCGCCTGTAAAATTCCAGGCTCTGAGGTTTGGGTCAGTCACGTGATCTCAAAACTGGAAGCGTGCTGGAGGGTAACCAAGCTATCTGGCCGATTGTTAACTACGTTTTTTTGTTTTAAAACACCTAACTTACCTGAGCTTTCCAAAGATTTATTTACATTTATTAGAACTAGCTTTATAAAACCCTGGTAGAAGGCAAGAGCGTTTGAAGGTCACTCTGGAGACCACCAACTGGGAAGAACGGGTCCGAGAAAGGCTGATCTTGCGGATACGAGACAAGAGAGGAAGGGGTGGAAAAATCCGGATTTTACCGCCAGGGCCTACCGAGCCAGCCCCACAAGTAGTGTTGTAATAGGTGGGAGGGAGGAGAATGACGCCAGAAGCCAGTCTGGTAGAAAGATGGAGGTTCCGGAGTGGAGGGGGCAGGGTGCGCGGAGGCGAGCAGTGCGGCTGCGCGCGAGGCGGAGGACGCGCCGGCGCGCAGAGGGGCGGGGTGAAAGGTCACCGCGCGGCGGCTGGTCTGGCTGGCTGCAGCGGCGGGAGGGAGCCGAGAGACCCGAGTGCACGTGTGGAGAAGCGGCGGGACCTGCGCGGCGGCGGGAGACATCCCCGCCCCCACCAGAGATTTGGGCCCTCGCTTGACTCTCGCGGCCTTCGTCGCTAGCTCAGCTCCTTGCCCTGGCTAGGAGGCCGGCTTGCGGGGTTGAGTGGCCCGAGCTGAGGGCGCGGAGACCTGAGGGCGGCGACGACGACGGCGCTGATATCGGTGGTAACGACGGCCTCAGCAGGCGGGGAAGATGAAAGGGTGAGAAGGGCAGTTGGGCAGGGCTCGGCCGGCGGGGTAGAGGGGCCCGGGCCGGTGTAGAGTGGGAGAGCTGCGAAGGAGAGGAGAGTCTCAGGGCGAAGACCGGCAGAGGGAGATTTCTAGGCTTCTCAGTTCGGTCGGCTCTCGGAGGGGGCGGAGGCGAGGCTCGGGCTCTTGGCGGGCTGAAGGGCCAGCGGAGGCAAGACCCCAGGGTCCCAGGGTTTCGGTCCGGAGGACGAGTGTGGGTTGAGTGGAGAGTAGCGGCTGAGTGGGGCAACATGGAAAGGCTATTGTGAGTCGCCTGGGGCCTCCCTCCCCGGAGCGGACCGCCGAGCCACCCCGGGCCGCCGCTCCAGGTGGAGTGGTTTGGTTGTCTTCCATCTCCAGACTCAACTCTGCAACGGCGGTGTTTGACACCTTTCAGTTTTATTCACGCTTGGGAGCTGTGCAGAACCTTCTGGAGGAAGAAGAGATTGGAATAAAGAGCACGGGGATGAGTATTAAGAGCTAGTGACTCAACTAGATTTGGGTTGGGTCACAGCGAGTGGAGGAGGGGGAGAGAGCGCGGTCACTGTAGACTTGGGGTGCCAACAAATTTAAGGAAGTATAGCGTGGATCGGTAGGTGGAGCTATTGCTTCAGCAGTTCACTATTGCCCCTGAGTGCTGAGGGGCTCCTGGGTAGTTTACCACGCTGCTCATTTCAGGTGATTGGTAAAGTTAATGTTCGGTCTTTCACCGTTTGCCTCTTGAATAAAATTAGGAATTATTTTGGATCGACTGTTTAAATTTTTTTTTTTTTTTTTTTGAGATAGAGTCTCACTCTGTCGCCAGGCGCCAGGCTGGAGTGCAGTGGCACAATCTCGTCCCACTGCAACCTCCGCCTCCTGGGTTCAAGCAATTCTCCTGCCTCAGCCTCCCCAGTAGCTGGAACTACAGGCTCACACCACCACGCCTAGCTAATTTTTGTATTTTTAGTAGGGACGGGATTGCACCATGTTGGCCAGGATGGTCTCAATCTCTTGACCTCGCGATCCGCCCGCCTCGGCCTCCCAAAGTGCTGGGATTACAGGCTTGACCCACCGCGCCCGGCCTCAACTGTTTAAATTTTTATGAAATGCCTCCTTACCATTAAGTTATATAGTTTTAATATATTAATTACATAACATTGTTCCGAAGCATTGCCTAAATAAGCTGTTTTGGAGCTTGTCTTTACCCTCAAAGAAATGAAGCTCATAATCGTTAGAAAGTTCTCTGCAATGCCTTAGTTTGCTGTTGTAAATCGATTAGGAAACTGTAACTATGTTTTTAGTTAGCGAAGCCGTTCCAACTATTCAACAGCACTTTTGAGGATGAAGTAAAAGTCACTTTCAGCGTAAGCTCATACTGCCTCAAATAAGGACCTAAATATTATCTCTGTGTATCAGTGTTTGAGATTACTGGAGAGATTCCAAGAAAATTTAATTTGGTCTTAGGTCTGTAACATGTTTCCTTACTCTAATTTTCCTTTAAATACTGGATATCCTAATGTTGAATAGTATGTTTTGTATTAAGAATCTTTAAGAAATGTGAACTATTCACTATACCTGCATTGTTTCACTTCAAGTTCTAAAGAGTTCCAGTTAGGGAAATTAATTGACGAGTATAGGAAGTATTTGCTCCACTTGAATCATAATCTGGGAAGCTTGGCTATTTTAGATACAATCCAACATATTTGGGGAATGTTGTTTTTCTGCTATGCTGCAGTTCTTTTTTTTCTTTCTTTCTTCCTTTTTTTTTTTTTTTTCCTTTGATACAGGGTCTCACCCTGTCACCCAGGCCAGAGTGCAGTGGCTCCATCTCCGCCACTTGCAACCTCTGCCACCTCTGCCTTCCAGGCTCAAGCAATCCTCCCACCTCAGCCTCGCGAGTTGTTGGGACTACAGGCGCACACCACCACTCCTGGCTAATTTTTATATATTTTGTAGAGACGGAGGTCTCACTATGTTGGCCAGCCAGGCTGATCTCAAACTCCTGGGCTCAAGCAGTCCACCAGCCTCTGCCTCCCAAAGTGCTAGAATTACAGGCATGAGCCACCAAGTACAGCATATACTGCACTTCTTGAGCTTGGTTGCTGTCTCTTACTCATTTTTGTACTCATTGTCAGGCACTCAGTACTCATTGTCATGTTCTGTTCCATAAGAAAAATGAGACTGAAGAGTTCCCAATGTTGAAACTGCCATGGATTGACAAAGGGGGACTCCAGGAAATTATTCTGTATGTTTAGATCCAAAATCTTCAATCTAGTTCAGTCTCCATCGGGTGTGATGTTCTTTCTGATTGTTAACTTGGCAATAGAAATGGAGCTGAACAGTCATTCAGTCTGTCTTTAAGATATTCGTGGAGCAATTTATCTCTGTTTAAAATGGATATTTACATGTAACCTGTTGGAGACAGGTCCCTAGAAATGAGTAACTGGCCGAATTTAGAGGAAACTTAAAATTATTGAATCTGTATCTTTATGCCAGTAACTGTGCCTGTAAAGTTTCTATTACTTTTTGTGATTGGGAGCTTAGAATTGTGTTCTTTACTGTAAACCTTTATGATGATTTCACAGGAGTAATCCTTTTAACTTAACAAATGAACTAACTCCCAGATGATATGAAACTTTAATTTTTTTTTTTTTTTTGCTTCTAAGTCTGTATTTAAGATCCTCAACAAATGAGTTGTGTGAACCTTACTTGTATTTGCTCGGACACTGAACCTACAGCAGCATAGATTTAAAATAAGTTAAGCGCCTTGAGTTCCAAAACTTGTACCACCATGTACAACGTGGTCGGTTTTATAGTCCTGACTTAATTTGGAATGGCCTATAAAAATGAAACAGTGGTCTTTATTATGTGTTTTTTTGTATGAAATTTTATTTGCTAAGTGTTCTATTGTATATTGACCTAAGTAAACAGTAAATTGAAGTATCTAAAATTGGAAACTGCAGAATTCCCAAGACAAAACCAGTCAAATATTTAAAACTTGTTGCCTGTATCGCCTGTCATATTGAAACTTAAAACTTGTCTGGTCTGGTCTTCTCTTTTTTGTCGGAGTCTTGCTCTGTCACCCAGGCTGGAGTGCAGTGGCATGATCTCACCTCACTGCAACCTCTGCCTCCTTGGGTTCAAGTGATTCTTCTGCCTCACCCTCCTGAATAGCCGGGACTACAGGCACGCATCAGCACACCCGGCTAACTTTTTGTATTTTTAGTAGAGACCGGGGTATCGGTATATTGGCCAGGCTGGTCTCGAAATCCTGACCTCATGGTTCACCCTCCTCAGCCTCCCAAAGTGCTGGGATTACAGACATGAGCCATCGCGCCTGGCAGATTATCTGGTTTTTCTTCATATTTTTTCTATGAGTATTAGTAGTAGCAGTAGGATGTTCCATTGTATTAGCATGTCTTTCCTCCATAGAAGATAAATTTCTGGTTATTAACTACTGAATATAATTTATGTGCACATCTAAAAGTTTGAGATATACTGGGAGATATTGCTTCCTTTTTAGATTGGTGGTTTTTATGAACCAGGGACATTGTAGTTTGAATTTGTGGGTTGTAATTTTATCTGTTGTTCTCCTCTAGGGAAGGTGATTTCAAGCAAGAAGGTATGTTACAGATAACCATGACTGAGGTGGCTGTGTAATGGAAACTATAATAAACCAAATCATTTAGCCCCTTATTGTAGTAAAGAAGTGCAAATTAGTTCTAATAAAAAATGTCTTTAACAAAATGCAAATACATGACTAAAATGGGAAAGTAGGTAGCAGTAATATAAATATGCAACAATGTAGTTTACTAATTGGAATAGTGAAGCCATTTTATCAAATGTTAAAATAAAATGTAAGATTCTGCAGTCAGAAAACTTTAAGACTCAAAACAGTGGTTACCTCTGACAGCCTATGGACTGGGAAGGGGCAAAAGGAATATTTCTAGCATTCTGAGATGC